AAAATTCTCCTGGGGACATAACAGGCTGTTTAGCTATTTTTTCAGTGATTTTGAAAGAGGGATTTTTTTTGGTAGGAGTTTGGGGTGTAAACCACACGGGGCTCAAGACACAAAGGGTTATAAAACCAGCAAAGGGCAAGGGAAAAGCCTCATCTTCTTTACCACCAAGGCTATTTTGGGGCAGGAACGCACAGGAACGGAGTTCTGGCTGGCTCCCAAGTTGGCCACGCCCAGCAGGAACTCATTAGCATAATAGGCCACACCCAACAGCAGAAACTCATTAGGATTGGCTACATTAGGGGTGTGTGGCCTAACATGCAAAGGAGTTCCTGCTACAAAAAAAGGCCCTGGGTTTTGACCACAAACAAGGTAAACAGAATAACAAGCAAAAGGTGGGTGTGGCTGGATAACCACACTTCTGGTAACATGTGGGTGTGGCCTAATGTGCTAATGAGCTGTGCTGTCAGGGGTGTGGCCCAATATGCCAATAAGTTCCTGCTGTTGGGTGTGGCCTATTATGCTAATGAGTTCCTGCTGGGCTTTTTCTACAAAAAGAGCCCTGTTTACCACCACTTGGGATTCTTCAATTCAGATTGTGTCAGCTGCATCTAAAGCCAGCCTAGGTATGTAGGGAGATGAACCTGTGTATGAAAGGAATAAAATAAGGCGCTTTTGGATTAACCTGACCTGGATAGCCTGGGCTAGCCCGATCTTGCCAGGTCTCAGAAGCTTAAGCAGGGTCAACCCTAGTTAGCTTTTGGATAGGAGACCTCCAGATGTTTGGGCGGGAGACAAGGGTTGTGATGTGGAGGCAGGCAAGGGCAAAGCATCTCTGTCCATCTCTTGCCTTGAAAATCCTACGGGGTTGCCATAAGTCAGCTGTGACACAATGGCACGCGCACACTTTTGGATTTCCTTAGTGTAATCTTAATAAACCTTACTTCTGTTTTCAAGAACTTACTGCCCGGCTGTTGTGTACCCAGCGAGTCCGCACACGTGGCCGAGCCACACACGTGGCCATGCGAAGGGCCTGTTGTGTAGTGGGTTAGCCGCATGGAAGAACTACCGAGGCACGCATAATACACAGCACACTTTATTGGTACACAACACGAACCCCCACCGCCGACCGGCCTCTTATATACAGTCTGGGGAACCCTTGCGGAATCCCATTGGCCCATTCAAACCTCCCGCCAATGTCCCATTGGTTCCCCTAGAGGCAGGATGCAGGAGCCTAGTCCTCATTGTTCTTTGGACTCAAGCTCCACTGTATTGCGGGCGCCCAGTGGCGGTACGCGGACATAACAGGGCCCAAGCTTCGCTTCCAAAGACAATAGCCCAAACGGATCCTAGCGCGCACCTATCGGACAGCTAGGATCCAAGGAGGGACCTATGGGACTGGGGGACACTAAATAGCCTACCACAGTTGTGGGTGTGTGTTTGGGGTGTGGTTTGCTATGTGGATATAAGCCGGCCTCGGGCCAGACTTAAGTATCTCAAGTTATCCTGTACATAATAAAGTATGAGCTGAAATCACTTCTCCATGCTTCAGTCTCAGTACTTTATACTGGCTCTCTCTCTCTTTCTGTCTCCCTCCCTCATAGAGAGGGGCGGGGGATCCCCACTTTTGCAAGCCGCTGCTGGTCAGCTGGCTGGTGGGAGGAAATCCCCCCCACACCCAATGCATGTGTGATGCGCTGATGTCACCCGGGAGTGATGGCAGTGCTTTGGTGCTGTCGGGGATGACGCTCTGCTTTTTGGGCAAAGCTCTATGGTTTGAGGCTGTCTTTACCATAGAGTTTTGCCCCAAAAGCAGAGCATCACCCCCGATGTCACCAGAGTGTTGTCGTCACTTCTGGGTGATGTCAGTGCATCGCGCAACTTCCCTGCTCACCCCTGGAAATCCCCCCCAAGCCCCCTCGCTGGCACAACAAAGGGACCTGGCAACCTACTCCCTCACCTTAGGGTTGCCAGATTCCCCCTGGCATCTGGCAGGGGGTGGGGTGGGGGGACATACCGGAACCAAAGAGAGGCTAGGCTGGCATTGACGGTGATGTCACTTCTGGCATGCACTGGAACTGACATCATTACATTGCCAGCGATGTGGGGACTCTCTCCGATTTGGGCAAAAGCCCTACGGTCAAAGTCATTTTTACCACAGAGTTTTGCCCAAATACTAGAGCACACCTGAGTCGCTGGCAATGTGAAGACATCACTTCGATTGCATGCCAGAAGTGACATCACGGCATTGCCAGTGACACAGGCCTCGTCCTCCTTTTGCTGCCTGTAAGCCCCCCAAGCCCCCAGCTGATTGGCACCAGGGGGAGGAGCCACAGAATGGGGGATCCCCCACCCCTGGCAGGGGCCTGGAGAGCCTGCTCGCCTGTGGGAAAAGTTTTGCTGTTTCAATGTGGATTTGGGTGAAAGTCTGTTCAGCTTTTCAGCTCATTTGCATTGGGCCTGCACTCATTTTGGCCCTGATGACACAACCCTCCTAGGAGCCCCCCACAGCTTTTATTATTTACTGTTTTATTTTGAGTGAAACTTATCCCACCGTCTCCAGATGCCTGCTTGCGGTGGCTAAGAAGAAAGGGGGGGGGACCCTAATAAATAATACATGCTTAATGGTAACACATCACTAAAACAACACAGTACAACTAAAAGTACTTCCCAACAATAAAACCATCCCAATCTACACTTATAAAAAGCCAGCAGTCAATAAAAGCAGCAGCATAAAACAGTCTCAGGAACATAAAAACACCCATGAAGAACATTATGCAACCTGTCAAGGGTTACAGCTTAAAGATGGAATAAAATGTTAGCAAAAAGCCTGGGTGAATGGAAATGGTTTCGCCTGACACCTAAATGCTTATAGGGGAACGCATTGGTCCACAAAGGATATATATCTGCTGCCTGGCAAAGATAAAAGTATTTCTTATCAGGTTACTTTACTTGCAATTGCAGTGAAGAAAGTTCGAGCCAGGTTTGCGGGGGAACAAGAGGCTTCAAAATGCTGGGTGGTTTTTTTTATGTGATACCTCTAATATGACTCACATTATGTGTCATGATTTCTGCATATTTATTAATGAGTTTATTAATGAAACTTTTAAGTTTCACCAGCAATTTTTGGTGATGGCCTTTGGCTATAGCAATAAAGTTGGTTGACTGAAAGCGAATAGAGAAGGCACCAGGAGCTGCAAGAATATGGCCCTTTCTTGAATATGCCTTGGTTTCTGAGCATATCCTATCCTTTCATTCTGCATTCCCTCCTTCTTTCACTTCCAGTTCCTGTTGGGGCTTTCTCTTGTTTCTGCACTTGTTTTACAGGAATCTGCATTCAGGCCACTTCCAGCACACTGTTGCTCCACAGTTCCCAAAACTCCTTTTGCAGAGATTCTTTCTTCTTATACCCTCAGGCAAACTTTAAAAAAGCCAGAGAGAGCATAAGAAGGAATCAGTAAATATAAAGGACTAGGGGATTCCCTGCTCCCAATTGTGTCAGTCTTGTATGTGTGGGCCTGGATTTCCCCCTTCCTTCCCTTTCTTTTTGCAGAATCACAGAGGGACGGAGGGAGGGAGGGAGGGAGGGAGGGAGGGAAGGAGGGGTTGGGTCTGCAGCTAAAAGTTTTGAAAGACGTTTCCCTTTCTCTTCGCTTGATGTTTCCGTATTAATTAGGCAAAGAATGTGGGCTTTTGCTTGTAGCTGCAGAATGCATACAGAATACACAAATAAACAGACGGGACGGGGGGAAAACAGTGCAGAGGGAATGTGTGCAACCACAAAGTCAACCCTTAAGGCTTTACTCCTCGGATTCTCCAGAGTAAGCTGTCAGTGCAGAAAGGGCCTATGTTAAGGGCTTTGGCTCAGTGGTAGAGCATCTGCTTTGCACACGGAACATCACTTGCTGAACCCTCAGCATCGCCAAGGTAAAAGATCAGCTAGTAGGTGATGTGGAGGACCTTAACTGAGACCCTGGAGAGCCACTGCCCATCAGAGTAGATAACACTACCCTTGATGGACCAATGGCCTGATTCAGGATAAGGAAGCTTCATGCGTTCATTTAGATTCAAGCCCAGTAGCTCCTCAGAGACCAACGAGATTTTCAGAGTATAAACTTTCGAGAGTCAAAGCTCCCTTCATCAGACATGTGTAGGAATGGAGATCTCAGAGTTTTTATATCCCAGTCAAAAGGTGGGTGTTGTAAAGACCACTGGCAAAGGATGCAAAGGTACAATGCAGACTCTAATCAACTTGAAAAACAAAGTTTGAGTCCTGTCGCACCTTTAAGACCAACAAAGTTTTATTCAGGGTATGAGCTTTCATGCGCACACACACTTCCTCAGATACAGTGAAATGGAAGATAACCATTTAAACTTACAGACAGAGGCTGAATGGTTATAGTAGTTTGAACTCCCTGCAATTGTCAGTTAACTAACTAAGGCCCCGGTCACACGGAGCATTAGGCACGCTAGAGAGACGGAAGATAGGCGGATTTTCCGGGCGCGATCTCACCGCCACATCTGGGAAGCATAGAGCTCCCATGGCTCACCCGAGGCTTCACTCCGAAGATGCGGGGTAAAAAACTAGTACCTCCGAGGTACTAGTTTCCGGAAACCACGGGGCAAGGGCGGAGGTCAGATCACGTTTCCGGTGTTAGCTCGTGGCATCCGGCGCCCGCCCATGTCCCGCCACAAAAAGTTTTTTTTGTCAAGTCTCCACGGGTGCGCACAAGCACCCAACGGCACATGCGAACACTTGGGTTAAAAAAAACAACACAACCCCCGTGGCGCCGCTTCTTTACCGTGCCGCAGGAGTGAGGTATGATCGGTACCTCCCCCCAACTACGGGACGTCGGCGGGACGTCGGGCGAAACGTTTGATATGGCTGCCGCGTGGTAGTTCGCTCCGGGCAAACAGCCATGCCTCCCCCCCGCAATATCCGGCCCATGTGACCGGGGCCTAAGACTGGCTAATGTAAAATGGAATCTTAACACTGTACCTACCAGCCTGCTGTGAACTCCACGTGTGCGTCAAAGAAGCCGGTGATTTGACCAGAGGCAACTTTCCAGCCTTCAATGCGAGCACGGATCAGGCCTTCCCTTTTCTGGTTGCGCACAACCTTCACAAGGCCAGGGTATCGCTTGTTGACATACTCCTCTAGGGGTGCCTTCAGTTCCTCTGCAAGAAGAAACCCAAAATGCTGAATAGATAAGTCATTTTGTGGGTCACTTGGACTTCCAGCGTTCACGTAGCCCATCGAGTCCCATCAGCAAGTCACTTATAAGTAGAAGTTTGCAAAGGGTTAACTTTGTGACCTCCCTTTCAAATGAGGTCCCCCCCTTACATGACCCTCACTCCAGTGAAGATGCAGCCATTATATTTATTGTTATATTTTCCCAGAGTGTTGTGTATGCATGCTTTGCTACAATTCATGTCGTTTCCCCTGTTCTATACACGTGCATTGATGTATGATCATGTAAATATGATAACTATTTGTATGGTTATACACTGAGGCTAGAAGGACAGGTCTCCACCAGTAAAACACTGCACAAAAATAAACTCAGTGTGACTCTCATGTACAAGATCACTGTTTTTACCAGACTTAAAAGCCCTCATGTAACACATATAAGTAACAGAACAGAAACAAATATGCAAATTAACTGAAAGCTATGAGAGCCAGTTTGGTGTAGTGGTTAGGAGCACGAACTCTAATCTGGGAGAACCGGGTTTGATTCCCTTCTCCACCAACATGCAGCTGCTGGTGTGACCTTGGGTCAGTCACAAGTTCTTTCAAAGCTGTTCTCTCAAGGACAGTTCTCAGCCCCACCTACCTCACAGGGCGTCTGTTGTGGGGAGGGGAAGGGAAAGGAGACTGTAAGCCGCTCTGAGACTCCTTCAGGTAGTGAAGGGCGGGGTATAAATCCAATCTCCTCCTCCTCCTCTTCCTCCTTATCCTCCTTCCATCATGCCTCAATCCTGTAACGTGTGAACTGGGCAATGCATGGATTTTCCATGTGGGTATAACTTCTTTTCACAGGTATAGAGCCAGTTTGGTGTAATGGTTAAGTGCACGGACTCTAATCTGGGAGAACCGGGTTTGATTCCCCACTCCTCCACTCGCACCTGCTGGATGACCTTGGGCAAGCCATAGTTCTGATAAGAGCTGTTCTTGAAAAAAGAGCAGTTTGTGTCAAGAGCTCTCTCAGTCCCACCTACCCCACAGGGTATCTGTTGTGGGGAGGGAAAGGGAAAGGAGATTGTAAGACGCTCTGAGACACCTTTCGGTAGTGAAGGGCGGGGTATAAATCCAATCTCCTCCTCCTCCTCCTCTTTACTTGTATGGAAAAATGCACGTGTTGCCCAATTCACATATCATGGGATCTTGCTATCAGGTGCATCACAGGGACCTTTGCACTCCTAATATGTGTAACTGGCAGACTCCCACAAAATATGAATGGAATACACAGAGGCCTCCATGTTACCAGCCACTTTCTTCCTCCTCAAGCCACAAACCTTGCATCTCTGAACAGTCATAGAGAATAACCTTCCATGATGACTCTTTAAACCATGGATCTTGTTCCTACCAGGGTCTCTCTTTTCTGTTTCCAGCTTTCTCCCATCTCACTTTCCAACCGGGGTTGATGCAAAACTGTCATTTTTTTTTTGCTGCCTCTGAACCAAATCAAAAGGTCAACAAAACTGCAATTACCATCAACCTCAGCAATCCAAAGCCACCAATGGCGTGAACCGCACTCAGAACACTGCTGGTTCTAAAATGTGAATAAATCAGCAATCCCAGCATGGAGTGCTCGGCTCGAGATAAACTGGACATGGCAAGCAGGGCAGGTCGGACCGTGCAAGCGTGCAATTTGTGAGGACTGGAACACCGCCAGTTAAAAGGACCGCGCGCGGGGGGGGGGGGGGCACCAAGGCCTGGTCTTCCTTATGACAACTGACTAGCCAATCGTATCACAACCACGGCACTCTAAACCCTCCATTGTGGCTAGAGATGCCAAGCTGATGGAAGCACACATTTTCATTCAATAATTACAAAGGATGACGCTCATTCGAGAAATGCAGTAAATCAAAAGAGGGGTTTTTTCAAGGTACTTAACATTCTTTTCATTCCCTAGGCGTTCCCGTATACTTTAATCACAGTTTCTCATCCCCCCCCCTTCCTTGACAGCTGCTGTCTCCATTAGAAACAACAGCAACAAAAAAAACAACACCCAGATTTTTTGGTTGACATTCCACAACCGGGGAATTGGATTCCCAGGTGGATTTTGTTCTTAAAAAAACAAAAACTGAAAAGATGACAAACATCCTTAAATTTCTAGAAGAAAATGAGGGAGAATCCACTCTACGGATCGGCCAAAGTCGAGAGATACTTCCTGGCAAGCAGCCGTTTGCTTTACAGCCACCCGTTCACCTCTATCAGATGAAGTCTTGAGAGGCAACTCCCCTACACCGGGGACTAATCTCATCAGTGTGGGCTGGTTGTTGCGACAAAGAAGGGAAGGTTTCATCACCCAGGAGAACAGCTGACTATTGCTCTGGATTTTTCTTCCCCTCCTTGTGGCTGCTGGCTATCAGTTCCTTTGTTAAGTTAATGGCCCAGGATATTTCCTCAAGGGGAGTTAATTGCTAGGAGGTCCCTTGATAGTACTCCTTGGAGCTTGGAGAAGATGTCTTCTCTAGCAGAGGGGAGGAGGCCATGTCTATGTGTGTGAGAGAACAGAGAGAAGCAAAGAGTGATGAACTGGGTGAAGGATCTGGGGGCAAAGGTGTGCGCTCTCTCTCTCTCTCTCTCTCTCTCTCTCTCTCTCTCTCTCACTGAGGTGGGATAGTGGATAGATGGCCTATTCAGAAGTGCTACTTTGCCTCCTCCATTGGTCTGTTCTGTATTTTTAAATCAAGCAAATGTTACAAGAAAGCCATAAATCTTCAGTGTGCTCTTTTACCTAAAGAGACTCAAGCCAGGGAACCCCGCCCCTGAAACTTATTGCTGTTCAGAGAAAGAGGGGAGTGTGCAACTGTATTAGATAACCCTTCCTACTCCAGATGGTGCTGAAGAAGACTCTTGAGAGTCCCTTGGACTGCAAGAAGATCAAATCAGTCAATCCTAAAAGTAATCAACCCTGACTGTTCCCTGGAAGGCCAGATAATGAAACTGAAGCTCAAATACTTTGGCCACCAAATGAGAAGGGAGCACTCACTGGAGAAGACCCTGATGATGGGAAAAATGGAAGGTCAAAGAAGACGGGGACGGCAAAGGATGAGATGGTTAGACAGTGTCATAGATAGCAACGAACATGAAATTGAGCCAACTTCAGAGGACAGTGAAAGACAGGAAGGCCTGGTGTGATCTGGTCCATGGGGTCGCGAAGAGTCGGACTCGACTCTGCGACTGAACAACAACAACAACTCCAGATGTATTGCTTAGAGCAGGGGTGTCGAATTCATTTGTTATGAGGGCCGGATCTGACATAAATGAGACCTTGTTGGCCCGGGCCATGTGTGTCATAAAATGTAATGCCAGGTAGCGGAGATATAAACTTAATAAAGGACACAAACACAAAGGTTTTTTTTTTAACTTAAAATAAAAACATGCTTAAAAACATTAGCACTCTTGCAATATTTTGTTCATTTAACAGTGCCTGATAACTGACACCTCTTGCTCTGGATTATTGCATCAAAATGTCTGTGCTGTTGCAGTCTTGAGTCTGCTGTTCAGGTGTGTATCTGTAAGCTGCAAACCTACAATGACACAGCAGCAGCACTGGAAGAAGAAGCAGAAGACACCCAGTTCCACTGCGGGCCTGATAGAAGCCCTCTGGGGGACTCATCTGGCCCCCGGGCTGTATGTTTTGACACCCTGACTTAGAGTGTTACACTAAATTTTGGGAGACGCAGGTTCAGATCCCCGATCTGCCATGAAGCTTATTAAATGACCTTGGGCCAGTCAACTTAGGAGAAAATGCAGGGGATGAATCACATCTATTGCTCTGTTGACCACATTAATACCAGTACTGTCTCTCCAGCCACATTCTAATATCTCTTATCTCTCTCCCCCCCCTTAGAGTTGCCAATCTCCATGTAATGGCTGGAGATCTCCTGAAATTACAACTGGTCTCCGGGCAATAGAGATCAGTTCCCCTGGAGAAAATGGCTATTCGAATGTGGGCAGTATGGCATCATACCCCGCTAACGTCCATCCCCTCCCCAAATCCCACTCTCCCCAGGCTCCATCCTCCCAGATATCCAGGAATATCCCAACTCAGACCTGGCAACCCTTCTAACTGGAAGAGGCTAAAGGAGCAAGACGTCCTTATAAACAGCAGATAAGACAGAGAAGATCTTATTGACTCTCATAGAGATGTTTTGGCAATGGAAAGCAAGGACGGGGCTAGCCTCAGAACCTTACTGGGATGCTAGAAGAATTCGGGATCGTGTCTCTCTTTCCAAAGACCACTGGCAATGTTTATGAAATCAGTCGGCTGCAGAGAAGAATGGCAACAAAAACTGCTGCTTGGTAAAAAAAAATGCAGAAAGGAGAAAGAAAGGCACAGTAAACAGCAAAGCCAAACCTCTTGGGCGCAGTCAAATAAAACAAGCTCACGATACCCACTTCATGTGTGCATTCTTCCGAGTGCAAATCAACTCTTATTTACTGGCACGCAGACTGTCCCTGTAGGTATCTCTCCCCCCCCCCACGGCTTTCTTTAATGATGAAGTGGAAAGGAAGGACCCCATGGACACACCCACCACCACGTCAAAGCAGCTGCACTGCACATGTATGTAATTGCTTTCTGTTATGCTATGTTGGCCGCATCCCTTCCGAGAAACGTCAAGGAGGCATAGATTAGAGCTGTGATACCCTCATGTGGAATCGGTTCAGCTTCCCATCTTGTTCCCAACCGAAGGCCATTCAGTAATTCTCCATGGCCTACGTTCAAGCAATGGGCTCAATATTTATTTTTAAATTTATCAGATCTTCCTGGAAACTTAGCTAAAATAGGGGTAATATACGGGAAATGAGTCTCCTTAAAAAATGAACAGTGAAGTAACATGGGTTCAAAAGTGTAATGTATTCAGCCTGACATGCCCAGACTTGCCCGGGCTGGCCAGGCACAACTCTTCAATAGCTTCATGTCCAAAGACAATGGGTCCGTAGGATC